TATCCCTGATTTGGGTGTTACAGAGCTTTTCATTGTGAAGATGATAAAAAAAAAACGTGTTTTGGTTCTATCTTAAAATATCTGAAAGCTGATTATTTATGAATAAGGAAATTGGGTGTGGATGGGCGTTGATGAAAAACATCTATACACACAATGAGTTTACCAGCTGGAATTTCATTTGAATGCCAAAGAGGAAATATACCGAGGTGTGGTGATGTCTTTCAGGTTGTAAACATTGTTTGGAATGTATTGAAAGTTCATTAAATGAAATGAACCTCTTGTGTACTTTCTAAGATAACACCATTTGAATTTCCATAGGGCTTTTTGGAGAAACAGATTGTTTTGTTGTCTGAATTAGTTCAGGTTTTTAGGTTGGTTCTCCAAACCAACTTGTTAGAGATGTTAGTTATTTTGGACAGCAGACACTACATCTGAACTATATTATGCTTAAAGCAGTATCTTATACTCATTTGTTGTGATAATGCGTAATATTCATAAGTTAATATGCAGTATTCTTTTCGTATTGTGACATGGGACCTCATTATTCGAATGATTCTGCATTATTCTGAGATATGAATTATCTCTGTGATAAAGTACAGAGCTGATGCATGTTAAATCCCTTTCACAGCTGTCAGCAGGAGAAGTGGTCAAAGGTCTTTAAAGGAAATCAGCAATTATATCTTATCCAGCCTTTAAGTAATGATTGAACCAAGTCACGTCACCTGCATGTTGTTTTGAATAACCTTTACTGTTCTTACATCAGAGTTTCTGACTAGTATTTCTGAGTTAGTATCTGCTAATTCATTTACATTTAGATAACGTCATGTTGTACCACGACATCTCATTAAATGATTTTAGCAAGATGCCATTCATTGAATATGTTATTTTATTGGTTCACTGCCCAATGCTCGTTTCAATAAAGCATCATAAAGAGATTAACAGTTCTGCTATACTATAAACTCAGTAAGGCCTTTGTTATTATGTAAATGAAAGTATCTATTTATTTTAGAATTACATTTGTCCTCTTATCTCACATGCAGGAGCTCCCCATCAACATCAAATTCTGCTTCGAGGGTATGGAGGAGTCAGGATCCGAGGGCCTGGATGAACTGGTGTTTGCACGAAAAGACACCTTCCTAAAAGATGTGGACTACGTCTGCATCTCTGACAACTACTGGCTCGGCAAGACCAAACCCTGCATCACTTACGGCCTGAGAGGAATCTGCTACTTCTCCATTGAGGTGAAGTCTGACTTCACACAGATGTGTATTTTGTGAACATGTATTCGAATGAAGCACAATACAAATATTGCTTTTTTGTATTTAAAGGTGAAATGTGGTGACAAGGATCTTCACTCAGGGGTGTTTGGTGGCTCTGTTCATGAAGCCATGACCGACCTGATCGCACTTATGGGTAAGTCAAGCTGATAATTGAACTATAATCTCATAAAGGTTTTTGCAGTTTTAGAGAGCGAATGGTAATAAAAAATATGTTTCTCTGGACATTTTAAGTTGAGTTTAAATGTTGTGTCTGACTCTTTCTTAACAGGCTCCCTCTTGGACAATAAGGGGAAGATTTTGGTTCCCGGGATGAACGACGATGTGGCCCCTCTGTTAGATGAGGAGAAAAAGCTGTATGAGAAAATTGAATTTGACTTGGACGAGTACTGCAAAGACGTTGGAGTTGGACAGCTGCTGCATGACACCAAGGCAAGGCATTGATTTCTGTTGTTTAAATCGTTCAAAGGTAGAACAGTTCCCTGGGTCCCTGCATTGGAATCCATCATAACTAAAGTGTACTGTTGCTTTGTTACTGTAGGAGAAAATCCTGATGCACCGCTGGAGGTATCCATCCCTTTCTCTTCATGGTATTGAGGGAGCTTTCTCTGAAGCAGGAGCCAAGACTGTCATCCCCCGCAAGGTCATCGGAAAGTTCTCCATCCGCCTCGTCCCCGACATGGACCCCAAAGTCGTGGAGAAGCAGGTAGACCCTGAAATATCAAAAACACAGATCCTCATGCTGTCATCTGGCATTGTTCATGTGACTACAAAACTGAAACTGTCTCTGCTAGGGACATTTGAAATGATTTGACTTTTCCAACCACAGTCTGTACTGTAGGTGGTAGTGTGCCACAAAGATGACTCACTTGGTCCTGCTGCTACAACAGAAATGTTGCAAGTCAAGCAGATTTAGAGAGCGGCCTAAATGTGTTCAGTTCCATTAATAGAGAAAAAAACTGTTAAAAAAGCTGCGTATATTCCTCTTGGCATTCAAGCAGTGATTGATGTGGTTATCGTGTCTGCTAATATGACAAGAACTTAGAAAGAATTTACTTTTGAAATAATGTATTTTGTATTATTTTCTAACTATATTCAACTTCTGTTTCTAGTGAGTTTGCCAACAGCTTAGCTAGGCGGAAAATATATGAAAAACTATAATCACATACCACAGTTACATTTAAACGACATCCACAAAAGTTAGGCATACATAAACCAGTCATTCAAACAAACACCCTATTGCTGAGAATTAAGTAAGATAATGAATTGTAGTTTTCTGTAAATGAATAGCAATAAGCCATTATGGACTCATTTATTTGCACACATTTATGTTGGCTAATTAGTTGTAATGATTATTAAAATCCTGGTATGTTGTAAACAATGGGGTTTAGATTTAGCATGTCTCCACTGACACATTGTGTTAAATTGTAAAAAAATATCCTTAGTGCTTTGATTTCACTCGTTTTTTTAAATGTTTTGTTGTCAAGGTTATCGATCATCTGCAGAAGAAGTTTGCTGAACTGGGAAGCCCCAACAAGCTGAATGTGTACATGGGCCACGGCGCCAAGGCCTGGGTCTCTGACTTCAACCACCCGCACTACATGGCCGGCCGAAAGGCCATGAAGACAGGTACAGAGGCTGAGTCATGCAATACCAGAAATGTATCTGGATAAAGGCTCTTAAAACATATACTGCTCACACCCTCCATTTCCTAGCTAGTTTAATCGTTTTGGGTTTGCCAAATCTTTTAAATCGTTTTTTGTTGTGGGGCTCATACCACTTAAATACTTAGGTAGCATGTCTTAACCATAAACTGTGTCCTTGCTAATCAGAGTATTCCACAGATGTCCCTATCGGAAGTTTCAGTGTTAGAAAATATTCCCCATTTGTCTCAATTGTAGCTAAAAAGCAATGAAAAACAAAGCCAGACTTAAATCATCAATAAATAGGATGTCAAGTTGTGTGAAATCATTTCTTTTTTGATCATTATTGAGAGAGGATTTGGGTTGGAATATTATCATTCTAGTTGCACTCTGTCTTTTAATGTTGTAGATTATTTTTCCAATTTGATTAATCCCATTTTCTCCTCCTTGCTGTGCCGTAGTCTTTGGTGTGGAGCCTGACCTGACCCGTGAGGGAGGAAGTATCCCCGTCACCCTGACCTTCCAGGAGGCCACGGGACGTAACGTCATGCTGCTCCCTCTTGGATCCTCTGATGATGGAGCTCACTCCCAGAATGAAAAGCTCAACAGGTATGACACATTGCACTCCTGATCTACTTATTTCCTTTCCTTCCTAAATCACTGCGATTAAGAAGTGAGGGGGAATACCTCGAAATATACACTAAATAATAATAATACTTTCATTTTTTCCAATTTCAGAGTCAACTACATTCAGGGGACCAAGATGCTCGGGGCATACTTCCATGAGGTGTCCCTGCTGAAATGAAATGATGTCTCGTTAGGAAACAATGTAAAATATATCCATCCTTACTATCAGAGCCATAGCCTTTGTGGTATGAATTACCTTTCAGTCAGCAGTTTTATACAAACCTCCTGATAATAAAAATGTTTTTGTTTGTAACTCTTTGTTGTCCTGTTTATTTATGACCTCTACTGCATCACTTATTAACTTACAATAACCTGTAATGTCCCTGGATTTTGCAGTTGTTTTCATTGTGATACTTGAAGCGTGATTAAAGAAAGTCTGTGATTACAATCTCTAATGCTCTCCTGTACAGCGAGTCCCTTGCAAAACTAATCCTAAATTACTATGTTACTATTTTTCTGCACGTCAGAGATAGGAAATAAATGATTTATTATAACTTAAGAAGAAAAGATACACGTTTGGATAGTTCCACACTCACAAAATTAGTAAAGTGACCTTTTTTTGGTTTATTTTTTAAATATTTAACATACTCGCCATATGTACTAGTGACAGAACAACAACCTCTTTTAACATTTAAGTCTGAAAATGTTTTAATTACAAAGTGTAACTTTTAACAATAACAATTCAGTGGTGGAGGATTATTCAGATTCTTAACTTTAGTATAAGTAGCAATGAAACAATGCAGAAATACTATGTTACAAGAAACAGTGCTCCACATAAAATGTTACTTAAAAAAAAAAACAAACAAATATTACATATATTTTTGCATTAAAGTAGTACCAAAAACAAATTATCTTTATGCAGAATAGCCCATTGTTTTCATTATATTATTACATTTATTAATATACTGTAATATGTGTATCGGGTTGTCATGAAACCTGTATATTCTAACTAGCTGACTACTCTATGCACACAGCCCATAATAGTCAAACAAAGGACATGTTGGTTGAAATTAAAGTATATTTGTCTTTCGTCCTGTCCCTTTAAGAAGCAGCCGGATGTTGATGGATGCTGCAGGAAGTGATGCCTGACCTGCCTGACACAGGCCTGACAGAGTAAAACTAAAGGCATGGGTTTGAGATTCAAGAGATTCAAAGCTATGCAAATACAATTCTTTTTTTGTTACTGTATTTTATCCTCTGTCTTTATTTTTTCATCGCTTATACATTCCCCCACTTGATAAAGTACCCTGCTGTAAAAACAGAAAACTTTGTTGTGAGAATGGGGGATACAGGAAGTAAACTGGCAACCCAGCCTGTCATACACCAGCGCGGGAAAATCGTAAACAAAACACAGCGGAAGAGAAGCCTTTTGTGCAGTTTACTGATATGTTTACTTAGCAATAACTACATCTGTAGAGTTTTTGTCTCTTTGAGTAAGTGTTACTTTTATTAGAGAAAAAGACGTTAAAGTAAATCACGGTTACAAAAAAGCAGTTTCCGCTGCTAAATTAGAGATATGTTAGCAATAATGTCGGGTTTATAACGTGAGCTAACTAGCACATCGTGTTGCTGCAACGTTAACTTTCGTCTGACAGACCCTATGCTCTAAATGCATATGCGATGATTTAAAGTTAGTTAAATAAGATAAGACGTGTTGTCCCAGTATACGTTACCATGGATCGATACAACGATGTAAAAATTCAGCTGAAAACCTGGGAGCAGGGGTTTGTCACAGACCACCAGAGGAAACCAAACAAGGTGATTTAAATGCTAAGCATTAGCTGCTAGTAATAATAATAATAATGTCAACCCCATGCTTTAACTTACTATGCATGTCATGTGTTTTTAATCGTTGTTATTTGAATGTGGTTTTGTTTGTCCACAGGATATTTATATCCATGTTTCTCTTCCTTATACCTCATAATAACTGGCTATTAAAATGCTCCTTTTTTCCAGGAGGACATTGATCAAGCTGCAGATGAGACCAGGAGTGAGTATGAGCAATAACTTGCAACATAAGGTATATCTAATCCATCTGAAGCATAGATGATCCGGTTATAGCCAGAAGCATTTTAGCTATACTGTGTGTTTTAATTCCAGACCTGTATAAAGAGTACCGCAGTTTGAAACAAGCCAAAGACAACAGCAGCAGTGATGCAGCCAGCGGACACGTTGAACAGGCCAGATCTACAGCTGCGGTCAACACACCACAGAAGGTACTAAAGAAAGTGTGTTTTATAGCAAAATAGACAGTAAGACAAGTGGTTTCCTATATCTGTTACTATGTGCTTGTCATTGCTCTTCATAGGACTGTTGGGGATCCCATCTGAACCGCAGTTCACAGCCTGCACCTTCTCCCAAACTGACAGCCGAGGAGAGAGACAATCTGCAGGCCTCTGCCCAATACTATGGCATGAAACTGAAAAACAACATGGGGACACTCGGTAAGGTAAGGCACACTTTGAAAAAAAAACACAATATGGTGGTAAGAGAAATGCTTACTTAGAAACTTGGGATAAGTTAAGATATTTGTTGGTTATATTCTAGGAGAGACCTGTCTCACTGAAGAAATCGTTCCTTCCTGGTCGGGTGCCTCTTAACTCCCTGAAAGATGGACTAACTGGACAGACGAACAGCCCTGTTGCGACCCCTGTGAAGAACCCTTTCAACGGACCCAGATCCAGCCCCTTCACACCAAGGTAATTCAATGAAAGAAGGGATTGTAATGTTAGCATATTATCAGGGCAATATTAACTGATCAATAGGAAACCACATTTCTATTATAGTTGGATGAATTGTTAAGTCTTAAATTCCCTATGCCATATAGACATGAGGGAACACTTGTTTTAGACTTTTATTATTTATATTACTTATTTGTTGATACCTGCACACTTTTACTGACTATGTGTATTGTATACTGTTATATGTACCTATTTTATGTTCATTTGCTGTACCCAAGACACATTTCCACTGAGGTCTACAACGCATTTAATCTAATCTAATATTAAATCTAATACATGAAATATCCAGAGTCCAAAGTCACATCTTCAAATGCCTTGCTTGTCGACAGTCCATAACGGAAAGATATCTATTTGACAATAATACAAAGAGAATATCCTCTTCTTTAATAACAATGCTCCTAGTTTCTAAGACAGTTTTTTTTTTTTTTTAGCTTTCCCTGTAATTTTGTTTTTCTTCACAGAAGATTTAACACACCCCAGGGCCTGGCTTCAAAGACACCCCAGAAGGCGGAGCCTGAAGAGCCGTGTGAACCCTTTGAATCCGTCAAAGATTCTTGTGAAAAACCTGCAAGTGCTGCTATTAGTTATAGTAGTCCTAGTGTTCTAAGTAGTAAGAGTTGTACTAGTAAAGTTATTAGTTCACAAAATCAGAATATCTCTCATCTAGCTCCCTCTCCAGCCAGATCTGCTTCACTGTTGTCATCATTATCTTCTCCAAGTAGGCTAGGAACTTTAAGAGGAGACGTAGGAGCCACGGGCAAATTAAATGAAAGTATAGGAGCTTTAGGAGACAAAGAAGAACATGTGGACAATTTCAGAACTCCTCATAAGGTTGATGATGAGGCAGGTGTTGGAGCTTTGATCAGCTTGAGGGGAGGCCCTCAGGTTATTGCTGGCTTCAGAGGAGGAATGGCAGGGAAGCCCTCTCCTGCTAGCAGATTGAGTTTTGTTGACAAGAAGTGGCTGGAGAGGTGTCAGGTGTTCGGAGAGATGGGGGCTGAGGTGAAGCCTGGAGCAGGCAACGTGGAGATAGATGTGGAGAAAAGAGGAGAGTGTGAAGAGGGAAGAGAAACAACATTTAAAACAGATGAAGAGGAGAAATCTGGAAAAGAAGAAATACACGTAGCCGAAGAAAGAAGAGCAGCAAAAGTCTCGGGAGAAGTTAAAGAGCCTAAGAGCATTACCCATGACAAAACAGTGAGTGAAAGTGAACCAGAACCTTCTCTACAACACACTGGAAAAAGCCATCAAAGGAAAAGGAAAGGGAAAGCAAAAGAGAAGGAAGATATTGAGGAGATGGAAAGAGGACCGACACCACCTTTAACGCCAGAAGAGGACAATGAGGAGAGTAACAAATCCAAAGGTGGAAAGAAGAAAGGGAAGAAAAGGCAGAGAGAGGCAGAGCACATGGACGCAGAGGCGCCAGAGGAGGGAGGAGTGAAGAAGAGGCGGAGGAATGGTAAGAAGAAAGAGGAGAGCTCTGATGGAAAGCCCAGCACAGCTCCACAAGGAGGGAGGAAAAAGAGATCCAAGAAAAAAGGAGATGAAGACGAGGAGGCAGAAGAAGAGAAAAAAACCAAGGAACCAACAAAGGTACGTCAGTCATACTCGTATGTGCATACTGTGCATGCTGTGCATACTATGTGCATACTGTGTGCATACTGTGTGCATACTGTGTACATACTGTGTGCATACTGTGCATACTGTGTGCATACTGTGCATGCTGTGCATACTATGTACATACTGTGTGCATACTGTGTACATACTGTGTGCATACTGTGCAAATGATTTAAATACATTATTCTTCCGTCCAGCTTCCTCAAGAGAACTTGTTAGGAGAAATAGAGGAGGACTATAAAGCCAGGAAGGCGTATAAAACTCAGCCTGCCAAAGTCAAGTAAGAAAAAACACACCCTACTGCAACATGTCGTTCAAACACATCCATTTGTGTTCCTGTTCCAAACCATTCTTTATTCCTACAGAGGCATGAAAGGGGCAGAGGGTAACTTTGTGAAGATAAATCTGAAGAAGAAATCCCATGTCAAAGGATACGCTCTCAGAGGTGCTGGTCTACGCAAACAGGTACGTGTTGTGTTTGTGGCACATTGTTTCTATACTTTCGAAACCATTCGTACAGTTAACACGAGTTGTCATAATACAAAATGTATCCAGCGTCTTTCACTGTTGTACTCTGTTTTTTAGATATACATGGAGAAGTTCCAGCTGAAGGGCGAACGCTTCGGTGGACATGGATTTCTTAGCAGAGGAGGAGGGGGTGGTTTCAGAGGGGGAGGACACAGAGGAGGTTTCAGAGGGGGGATGAGTCAGTCGGGGGACACCTGCTACAAGTGTGGAGGGACGGGACACTGGGCCATCCACTGCAAGGGACCAGGTATACAAACAGAGACATGTCTAATCTGCTTGTTAAACAAAAAACGATCAATTTCAGTAATACTTAAAGTTATCCTGACAACAGGGGGTCGAGTCATCTGTTCATCAGCGATTCATCTCCTCAATTCATTGAACTTAACTTAACCGCTGATAACCTTACCGTCTGTATGGGCCATAAGAGTGACGCAGCCGTCCACATCAGACAACTTCTGAACCTCTGAACTCTTGGTTCTTTACGCAGCCCCCCCCCCTTCTGCTGCCGAGGACCAGGCCGCTGAGGAGGAGCCGTTTGACCTGCCCACCTTAGAGGAGGTTGCCAGGGCAACAGGCACACTGCAACCTCAGCCGATGGGTAAGCCTGTCAAACTTTTTGTGTAACTGACCTTTGCTAATTTCTCTTTTAGTACGGTGACTGTATATTTGTGTGTTTTTTGTTGTTGCGTGTGTTTTAAATCCTGCTTTGTTTCTGTGTTCCAGCAGCGTCTTCCAGTGCAGCAGAGGAGCAGCCGTCCCAGGATAAGCAGGGTGACGGTAACACTAAAGACGAGGTGTTGCTGAACGTGATTCGTCCTGACTATGAGTGTCCCGTTGTTCCACCTCCAATGGAACCAATGTTTCCTCTCACAGATGATGGGAAAGTCCAGGGTAAACACTTACTTTGTTCCTTGTAATTAAAAACAACATTATAAAAAATAGACTCAGAACATTTGCTCGAAAGCTCACACATTTGTGGGAATATGTGTCCGTTTAGAAGCGCCTCCTGAGCTGTATGAAGCCCTGAAAGAACTCGGCTATCGGTCATTTAGACCCGGACAAGCGGAAGCTATCATGAGGATCCTGTCAGGTATGCACAGTACACACAGATACAATCACACATCTAAGACCTTTGTAATAATGTGTCTCCCTTCTTCCTCCAGGTCTCTCTACCCTGGTAGTGTTGTCAACAGGAATGGGTAAATCGTTGTGCTATCAGCTCCCAGCCTACATGTATGCTAAGCGATCGAATAGCATCACTTTGGTCATTTCCCCTCTAGTCTCACTAATGGATGACCAGGTAGCCGTCCTATCACACATGCATCCACAACAAAAACACAACACCTAAAGAAATCGACCATCATTAAAAGAACGTACCCTCTCCCTTTGAGCAGTTATGCACACAACACATCTTGATGTTAATGTCTTTCTCTGCATTAAGGTGTCTGGCCTGCCAGCCAATCTGAAGGCAGCCTGTATTCACTCCAACATGAGCAAGAAACAGAGAGAAGCTGCGATAGAAAAGGTATGTGGCAATTGTAAGATTTAATTCTGAAAAACATCTTTGGCTCAGATAGAGTTACCTGTGAGCAGTGGCGGCGCCAGGGTATGGCTGGGGTAGGCTACAGCCATACCAAGAAATGGCTTAGCCCCACCATGAAAAATTATGTTAAAGTAAGCAAATTGAATTCAATAATAAGCAAAATGTTGAGAAAACGGCGTGCGAACATATACGGGTCGTGTCCACAACACACAAACTGATCCTGCTGTAGCAACAAGTGCACGTTACTGATGCAATATGGTTGAGACCATTCGGGCTTATGCTAGAAGAGGGGTGCAAGGAATAGTCTAAGAGTAGTGGGGGAGTTTTATACACTAAAGGTGTGGAAATTCTCTGGCGTTATAATATCAGCGCGGCCGCGGTCAGAACAAAATGCCTCCGAATGCAATTTGAATAGACCTACAGCCAATCAGAGCAACGAGACGTTGGGTCAGCGTCATGCATTACTGAAGAGATCAACCGGAACCGCCATTCAGTATCCCCATTGGATCTTCAACGTGTACTATGATACGTCACCTTCACAGTGATCTCTTTTTATTTACTACAAGACAAATGTGCAGTTTTATTTCATACAGTTCCATTCTGATTGAGACAGGAAAATAATCTAAACCTTAGGCGTGGCATTTCACTGTCAAGGGGGGCGATGTAGTGTGTATGTAATTACATTGCAAATACAGACTTGAGCCCCACCACTGTATGGGTTAGCCCTACCATAGATTAGCCAACACAAATACTCTGGCGCCGCCACTGGTCTCAGATATATAAAAATATATAAAAACATGTCTATGATGTGTTTTTCTCAAAATTCGAACAGATCATGCATTTTAGACATCCCTCATATCCCTTTATTCCAGCCCTGTTTAGAGAAACCAAGGATGTATAATAAGAACTGGATACAGCGTGGGAGGCGGAGTCTCGTTCTTTCCTATGAGAGCTGCTCATTGGTGCATGAAGGCAAAATGGCCCAACTTTTGAGAGAGCGAAACGTCACAGATTATCCATCATGCCTGGCTGTCAAAGCAGAAGTACCCGTATGTGCGCTCATAGAACATGCGCAGTTGAGTTGCCCCTTAAGCCCCGCCCCCGAGCTCCTGCTCTCGGCTCACTAGAATGAATGGAGAGAGAAAATAAATCTAGATTCGGCTTTTAGTGCATTTTACAACTTTAAGGACCTAATGATTTTAATAAGGGCTATAAAGGTGTTCGTGCTGGGCAGTTTATTTAGTTTTTAAAAAATGATCCGCTGATTTACAAACGTCTCTTTCCCAATAATAGTCAATGGGAAAAAGTCTTTATGGGCCCAGTGACGTCACGGACTGATACGGAAATTGTAGTACCGCCGTTTGGACACAACGAATTTTGGGCACAGAGTCCGCCGCACTTCCTGGGGGCTTGAGAGAAACGCGGATTTTGGGTCCTTAGCTTGAAAAAAAAAAAGAGGAGGCGGAGCTAATGCCTGATCAAAGATATTAGGCGCATTCACACCGCACTACTTTTCCCACAAAGGTTCATCAGAACTTAGTTCATGAGAACTCTTTAGTTCTCATGAACTAAGTACAGATCGCGTTCACACCGGAATAAGTTCCTGGAGGAGGATTAGGCAAATGAAGCCGCTGACGTCACTTCTTCTTCTTCTGCTTTGGGTTTACTGGCAGGCCGCAAAC